TATACATAAAAAAAAAATCTTTCATTTTTTTTACGGCCATACGCTAATCTTACTTACTCGCCTCTTCCATCGTTTTTTTCCTCTTTTTATCACCTTAGGAGGCCTTTGAAGGCCCTGCCCCCGTGCTTTCGTTGAGAGCGACAACTCCCCGCTGACTATCAAAGGCCAAGAACGACGTTACTCCAAATCAAACCATGGAGGTGGTCTTTCGTTTAAACTCTTTATTTTTGGCTTTCAGTGCACAAATTTCTACTCGCGCATCCTTGTACATGCGCTGGAGTAGCGAGAGTTGGGCGTTGACCTGGTGGAGCTCACTCGTCTTGTTCTGTAGTCAGTGAGCCAATTTTGTGACTGCAGTCACCGTCTCCATACAAGACGTCAATGTGAAATGATTGGCTTCAATGTCTGATTGAACTGCCATTATTTGCTCAATCATCATCATAGGAAGGTTGGGAAGAGCAAGAGCCGGGGCACTCAGCTCAGCAGCGCTTATGGGATCATTCAGGTCTGGAAAGAGAGTAAGGGGACGGGACGAGGCCATGAAATAGAAGAGAGAGATGTAATCGACGGGAGGGTTGTTTTTGGCAGCCTTTCTGCTCTGCTTAGTCTCTCTGTTCTATCTCTCTCACGTAGAAGAAGAAAGAGATGGAAGCGAATGAGAAAGAAGAAAGAGAAGAGAGTGATTGAGAAGAAGACAAGAGGGAGAGAGAGCCGAGGCCATTGATTGACCCGTCTCGCTTTTGTCGGTCGGCTGACGCAAAAGCGAGGACGCATGTCCGATGCGATTTTTGACGAAAAAGAGAGAGGCACGCGAATCGTATATATATATGTATATATACGTTTTGAATTGTGTAGATGCCATTTATCACTATCATTTTCCTTCTCCTCCTTCAGATTCTGACCCATGATTTTCTTTTGATAATGTCACAGGGGGAGAAATTATATGATGTTATATATTATGGTATTATTTTGTTATGATGTTATATATTATGGTATTATTTTCAAATTATGGTATTATTTGAAAACTAATCTGATAATTATATATTTATAGTTTGATATCTTAGTCTCATATCATGTCTCTAATTAAAGCTTATTTATTACACATGTGCTAACCTATGTATTTAGAAATGAATTCAGGGAGCATGACTTGAGAAGGAGCTTTTCTTACTCCCAAATCAAATCAAAACATCATTGTGTGCCATCATAAAAAATGGAGAGATTGTTAAACTTATTTATTTTGATGATTTATTTAATTATGCTTTAATTTATTTGAAAAAGAAAAATAGAATCGAAAATTTATTTTGATGATTTATTTAATTATATTTTAATTTATTTGAAAAAGAAAAATAGAATTCAAAATTTATTTTGATGATTTTTTTAATTATGTTTTAATAGAATTCAAAATTTATTTTGATGATTTATTTAATTATGTTTGAAAAAGAAAAATAGAATCAAAATTTATTTTGTCCCATTATTTCTCACATAAACTTTTATCCTAAATAATGTTTGAATGTATTTAATATTTGCTTAAATCAGGAGTTCATTTCAACTCAAAAATAATGTCCAAACCAGAGGTTCAAACAGCCTAAAACAAAGGTTCAAACAGCCCAACACAGCAGCAGGCCAAAAAGTTCAAGTGGAGGATATTCAAATTAGTAATGATGGAGTGGAAGATATTCAAATGAATACAACGGCTATAAGTTTCATTATATATACCAAAGCCTCTAATGTAAACAAGTTAAAAACAAAAAAAACTAGAAAATATTCTTTGATCTATAATCACTCACATCTATTCTCTGAAAAATTCTCTGAGAAGTGTTCTTTAATTTTTGTTTACATCCTCTTTCAGAAATTATATACTAAAACGTATAGCTTTAAACCCATCTTTCTTGTGTGAGGTTTATAGAAAAATCAAAATTTCATTTTTATGTCTATCTTTGAGAGATAATTCTTGTAGCTTTCTGTAAAAGCAAAAACATTTTCTTTTCAACTTTGTAAGAGTGTAGTACACTCAGTGTTCTTAACTTAGAAAGTCTGTGTAAAATCTGTAAAGGATTGTTCCATCTATGAAAAGGTTGCTAGTACCCTGTGCAGCTAGAGTATAATAGAAAATCTCAAGTGAAGCTTGAGGAGTGGACGTAGGCCGAGTTGAAGCCGAACCACTATAAATTTGTTTGTCTCTCTCTCTCTCCCTTATTTCTTTATTTTATTTAAATTGCCATAGCTATATTTCACATTTTCACTGTGCTAAAATCATTAACTGACATAGTTGTTAGAACACTTGTTTTAATTATTTCTATTTCATTAACTATATTTATTTATTGTGCTAGTTATAATTTTTATTAGGGTATTATTATTTTTATTTATAAAAATCTAATTCACCCTCCCCTCTTAGGTTGTCTTTTGGGTAACAGTCCTTTTGACCAATAAATTTTTAACAAATGTCCTTATGGCCCCAATAGTTTTACCCTTGTCCTTAAAGACTTATAGAGATAGAAATATAGATTTATCACTAATTTTCTCAAAAAGAAAAAGAAAAAAAAAATTACCCATAAATCCCTTTTGAAGGAATTGTGATCCATTTAGTCATTTTTGATTTCTTATGAGCTGATTAGTTCCACTAATCTCTCATCCTAAAAATCACTTCCCATCACAAATATGAGATTTTTAAACATCCCATTAACGACTGCAACAATGATTCATTCCACTAAAAACATCACCACTAATAGCACTAATGCATTAAAAAAGTAAAAAAAAAAAAAAACCTTCTTATTTATCATTCTTGTTTCGAAGAGTATGAACCTAATGGCGGGACCCATTGCCACCTAATTAGTGGGAGCACTAATTAGTGCTCCCAAGCATTTTTCTTAACGACTGCAATAACCCTTAGTACACTTTGGTTAAATGTGTCATTTCACAATATGAGTTTTTGGTAATTTAGATGTGTTAACTATTAGGGAAATTTTATTTCCACACATCATATCATCTCTGTGCACATCATATCTTAGTACACACACTTATGAATTTAGTTATATGTTATTATTCTCATTCCACATACCACATATTTCAATTATAACTTTACTCACATCTTGTACACACACCATTTAAATAGATTTTCCACAGCTTCAAACCCTTTGTAGACTCAACTTTTCCACACATCTACCCATGGCAACAAACCACAACTCCATTGAAGACCCTTCTAGGAATCAAGAGCTATTTCTAATCAAATCACATAGCAGATTGATACACCTACTTGTTAAAAAACCTACCTTGTACTCCATTTCTATCTCTACCAATCCAAATATCTGCACACAATTATCAACAAAGTAATATTTTCCAATTAATAGTTTTGTCTATCTCATAAGCATACATATATAGCTTCTGTATATATATGAATTACCTGTTCTTTTTCTAGGCAGGGGGCGTTGTTAGTAGCCATTGAAACCTGAAGGAAATGAGAGATCAATCAGAAAAAAAAAAAATATTTAGAAACGACAAGTAACCCTAAAAAATTGCAAAAACACGAAAGCAAAAACTACGAATGGGAAGCATAGAATCTTACAAACTCAGAAGTTCTGTTGGGAGGAGCAAAGAAAAATCTTAGAAATTACGAATAAAATAGGTCGATTTTTTTCCCAAATGAAATAAGTTTTGCTCATTCGGTACTGGTTTTCCAAATAAGATAGTCTTTCTCGGTTGTTTACTTCCGAAATTATTGTACATTTTCAATTATGAACTTCCGAATTATTTATAAATTTTCAATACTTAATTTTTGAATTTTTTAAATTGATTCGGTTTTGTAGTTTCGAATGTTTTACAATTTTTTGGTACTTGATATCAAAGTAGTTTATGCAAGCAATGGATAGAGTGTAACAATGGAGTGTAGCAAGCAATGGAGAACAATAGAGGAAGTGAAAAACAATGGAGGCACTTAGTTTTTCTTTTTTCAAAATATGTGCATTGAGAATTATTATTTTTTTTTAAAGATGTGTGTAGAGAAAATCTGAATTTAATTTGTAATGTGTGTTGATGTCCATTATGGTTATTGTGCTTCATGGTAAAATTGTCATTAATTTTTTTTTTTCCATTAAATGTGTACACAGAGACAAAAAAGTGTGTGAAAATAGAATTTCTCCAACCATTAATGCAGGGCTAAATATATTGATTAATTAAGTAATTTTTACACAGATGGGACTATTGAGTTCATAACGTTTTGAAAAAGACTTATTAGTATATAAGATGGGAATTTGGGATTTATTGACGCTTGTCCCCAAAAAAAAAAGTCAGTTAACACCTGTAATGACAATTTTAGATAATTTGTACGCTGTCCTGCAATCTGAACATATAGAACTTTGAGCTACAGATATTTCACAACTTGGTATTCATCTGGTCCGGATAAAACACCAAAAATAGGGTTTTATATCCCTAATCATCATTATCAATGGACTGTTATGTCTTTTAAGCTACAGTAATGCTAGATATCATGAAAATTTTGTCATGAAAATAATCATGAAAGCTTTGTGACCCTTGGATTACATTTAGAATAAAACACCACACACTAATCAAGGTAATCCAAGGATCATAAATTTTTCATGATCATTTTCATGACAAAATTTTCATGATCCCTAACTTTTCCCTTTAAGCTAAGCTGAAAATTGTTCTACTGTTGTTCCAAAAGGCGGTGATCAGTTGAATATGTAATCATCATTATCAATGGATTGTTATGTCTTTAGGACTGAAAACTGTTCTTTTCTTGTTCCATAAGGCCGTGACTAGAATTTCTATTGGATTTACCAATTGATTGACCAACCAAACCAACCAACCGAAGGAAGATAGAGAGAGAGCACCACTGGATTTTTCAGTTCTGAACAATTGAAACATATAAGTATATAAAGGTTCATACTTCATACATCATTGGGAGTATCATGACTACATAATACACATCTATTATAGGAAGAAGCTCCAACATTTACAAAACAACACCACCGTGCTCCTGCACAAAATCAATCCACAATTTTTAATAAATCTCAATCCTAAAAACTGGGCTTCACACAATAAAATCGACTTGTAACTCAAAATGTGATCTTAGTTGGCCTTCTTATTTGTCATTCTTGTTTCGAAGAGTATGAACCAATAGTAATAGCTCTAAGAAGAACTGGTGGTAGAGGATGGGTTGAAAGCTTTCTGCTCGGCACAGGACAATTTGTCATGTGGACCTGCCTCCTCTCTTCCAACTCCCATCAAGTCCAGGTAGTAAAGGTAATGAGAGACCATGTTGTTCATGGAATCAACATCACCCTGCCCACAAACATTATCTCCATAAAGGACGTTCATGGTGGTGCCGAAGCCTGGAACTCTATTCTCCATTGTATCGTTCTTGGTGGGCTTCCAGTTGCCAACGAAAACATCGTGAGCGGAAGGCTGTGACTTCTTCACTGGTGTCATCCACCTCCACACTGCTGCCTGGAAAGCAAGGGTTGCATTTTGTTCTACGTATTCTGGATGGCTCAACAGGTCAACTTTTAGGGCTTCCCCTGTAGCTCCATAGTTGTAGTTCCTGTGGGAATGAAAAGTAAATAATAGTAATAATAACAAGCAATCAATATTCTGCCTAAAAAACAGCTAAATAAAGTAGTTTCACAACAATTTCTATGACTTAAAACAGAAGTAAATTACAAAAGACAATAAATCCATCTTGATGTTGCTTCAAGAAACAACCTCAACCAAAAGCAATACTCAAACGCAGAAACGGATGGCTCGATCACTGATGTTGATGGGAACCAACCATGGTTATGAGAATCCCGATCCGGATCTTACGATCCATTTCAGTACAATCGATCCGGATCATGTAAAAAATTCTTTATGGGTAGGATCTTTTGATCCTAGTAATGAGATCTTATAGGATCGTGAAATCCCGATCCGAATTTGATCTTATCTCATCCAATTTACAAGTCTTGTTTTGTATTGTATGACATATTTTATTGTAAATTTTATATTTGTTGTCTAAATACCAATTTATCTGGTCAAAATAAATAATACAAATTAAGTAGTATTGAATCAAATAAACTAAAAAAAACAAACTAGGAAACAAACATTCAAATATTGCGGTAATTAAAAAAAATTAACTAGTTGGAAAAACAAACTTAGCTTTAGCGGAGTCTAAGGAGGGTAAGATGATTGCAACATTATCTCAATTTTTTGAGAGATTATTTTTGTGACTCGAATCCGCACCACCAGGGATGTTAGCGACAAACTTTATCATTCGATTAAGCTGCTCTTTTGAGTTCTTAATCTATTTTCATATCCAATTTTGTTAAATATTTTTTTTCCCACTTTTTATGCATTATTGTAAATTGTAAAGTATTTTGTTATAGAATTTTTTTTCCTCACCTTCTTTTTTGATGAAATACAAAACTTTTACCATCGAGTTTTCTATTGTATAATATTATATGCACATTTTACATGGAGTATTATATTTTTTTCAATATTTTCACTTCTTTTTAATAGAATATAGGCTCATTTTGTGTATACTTTTAAGAAATATTTATTTAAATTAAATGATTACGTAATTTGTCTTTTCGGTAAGATCTTACGATCGTCGATCCGATTGAACAATCCGATCCTATAAATACCTTTTACGATCTAACGTAGGATCTCGATTTTAACAATCTTGGAACCAGTAGACAAACACACACACACAAAAAAAGAAAAAGAAAAAGAAAAATGAAGTGTATAGAATATAGAGAGAAGAAGAGAATACCAGTAAATAGGAATAGCACCACGACCATAGTATTCAACACCAGGAGTGCAGGGATAGGTGTATTTGAAGGAGTCATCACAGTAAGATTGGCTTGGACTCATTTCTTTGTTGTAGCAAAGGCCCCACGCCAACGGTCCTCCTGTGGCCACTCCATAACCACCTGCCATCAATTACAATAACCTTTAAATGCAACTTAACTAATCAAATTTATTAAAGCCAAACCTGAGAGACAAATAAAAATCCTAAAATGTAGTTTGTTCTTGCATGAATTTAAAAAAAATCAAAACAATACTTGAAGAAAAGATCAATTGAAAATCATTTCAAAATTGTGGAAAAACACCGGGAAAAATAAGCAAATCAATTAACCCCTAGTCAATTAATAAGTCCTAAGAGAACAACATGATAAATCAACTCAAGCCAACACTAAATAAATCAGAAGTTGCCCAATTTGTTTTGAATCAATTGAAATCATATATTCTCATATGGAATAAAAAACAAAATTACTAGGTGAACAGGAAATCCCCAAATTCATTTTAGATATGTTCAATGAAATCCATAGCAAACCAATAGCCCTGGGCTTCATCTAAAACCAGTCCAATTATGCCTTGGTTGTCAATCATAAAGTCTTGAATACATCACTATAATTTAAAGTACTCAATTCAATCCAACACCCTATAATTTTTTTTTTTTTCAAACTCATCTTATTATCAATCAAATCCATATTAAAATTATTTATCATAAAAATCAAATCTCATATTAAAAAAAAATACCATACATTTTTGAGCACCTAACACTCCGTTAGGTTGCTAAGATAAAACACTAAGGCCATGTTTGTTTGGGCAGATTGGATTAGCATTCCCATGACTAATAGTCCTAGGATTACGAATCCGTTGGATTATGTATCCTATCTTAACTAATAATCAAGTTTAAAATAATTAGTCCGTACTTCAATTATTTAACCAAACATCGGATTAATAATTTTATTGAACTATTAGTCCAATCCCAAGCTCATGTCCACCCAAACAAATATGGCCTAAAAGAATAACATACCATGATTTGAATTATTAAAATAACTCAGTTCAATCAAACCAAATGGAAGTCAAGACAATCAACATTTCTTCACACCACAAACAATGATTAATTACAATTTTGGTTCCAAAGTATTAGGTTTGTACAATTTTGGTTTTTAAAATTTTAAATTGTATCAATTGGTGTCCAATATATAAAAAGTGTTTTAAAATAAGACAGTTATTATATTTTGGGACTAGAAGTATAATTTTTTCAAAGTATGTTTTCATATTAAGACATATATCACATATTTTCTGAAGTTAAAATTATAATTTTGTAAGTGAGTTTTTACATTTATCCTGACTTTGATGGTGTCCATTGACGGCATTTTGTTGAGTACTAAATTAAAATATTTTTATACACTGGAAACTACAAATTAACACAATTTAAAACTGAAATGATATAAACCTCATATTTTGGGAGACCAAAACTGTAATTTAACACATCTACAAAGTTTCCATTTCCCTTGTCTAAATATATGCTGTGCAGCAAAATTTACAAAGTTTCCATTTCTCTTATCTAAATAAAATGAATAATACTAGGGATCATGAAAAAAATATAATGAAATGTATTATGAAAATTTTTCATCATTTGATTAGTGTGTGGTGTTTTATTGTATGTATAATCTAAAAGTGAAGAATCTTTCATGGTCATCTTCATGATATTGTTTTCATGATAAAATATATGTTGTGCAGCAAAATTTCCTGGGAAGCAAACAGAAAGAAAGAAGTTACAAAATAGAAAGAGACTTACAAGAAGTTTTGCTGCCAACATGGCCGAGGAAGGCGGCGACCTCCTTCATTCCCGTGAGCTTGCCGCCGGTGGTGCCAAAGCCATGGGGCTGGTATTCAGCGGCGGCAGTGATGAAAGACTTGTAGTCCCAGAATCCCACTGCATGGGCCACCGGCGTGTTTCTCTTTGAGAAGAGATTCTCAAACTGGTAGGTCTGGAAGTAGTCTGAGATTGTATCATTGCAACAGTACTTGGACAACCCTTTGCACTCCCAACCCTTGTCACAAACCTTCTTTCCCTTCACAATCTTCACCACAGTGGGCGTTGACGAATCCCCATCCGCAATACCCATTATCGCCATTGTCACTGCCACTGCCATTGCCAAAACCCACCATTTGGTCTCCATTTTTGTCAGCAAAAACCACAGTTGGAAGACCCTTTTTTTTTTGGGTGTGGTAAAACAATGAAATGAACCCAATAAGAAGAGCTACACAGCTGCAATGCAATGAGGAATGGAGAGAATTTAAGGAGAAAGAAAGTGAAAGTGTAACTTATGCTGGACACTGGAAAGAGTTAACATTGTTGCTTAATTTCAGGTCTGGGTTTGCACTTGATTTTTCTTTGAGTGCAAGACTGACTTGATCGTCGGAGTGCCCCCGGGGGAAAGAGACAGAGAGTGACATTGAGCCAAAGAATTGAAAGCTTGAGAGAAATGAAAGCGAGTGTTAGATCAAGTTTATCTTTCAGGCCTCTAAATATTTGTAAATTACATCAGAGGTTTGAAAAAAAAAAAAATTAATCCTACATTTTTGTGTATAATTATATTGGTCTCTTTTTAATTCGCATAACAATTATATTCTTTTTTATTAATAATTTGTTAGTTGTATAAACGAAAAAAATGATATTGTCATTTCTTTCTATTATTAGACTTCAAGAAAGAGAGATCAATATATTATGTTAAAAGTATAAGAGTAATTATATTTTCTTAATTCAAAGAGAGGTGAGTGTAATATACCCTAACAATAACTTTTCAAGTCATAGTTTCATAAAAAGAAATTTACTCAGGATAAAAGTAGTCATAGTTTCATAAAAAGAAATTTACTCGGGATAAAAGTTCTTTTGAAATCAAATTAGCTTATGTGTGGGTAAAAATTTGACCACACTGCCCGTTTAGTGATCTGCTGGAGAACACAGGTAGAATAGATGGCTTTAGCAACCTGTAACAGAAAGGAAAAGTTCCGGCGGTGGTTCTTCCACCCGGGGGCACTCCGACGATCAAGTCAATATATCTCTCAAAGATAATCAAGTATTAAACTGAATACTCAAAACATAAATTACATACCTTAGACCCACGGAGGTGCCTCTCTTTTATAATATACTCAATCCAAGTCCCACTAGAAGTATGACTTCTATGAACTCCAATTTACTGTTTACTCTGGACTCATTAAGAGATAAAGATAAACTCCCTAAGAGCTCTATCCTTATCTTGGTTAAGTCCCCTCCTTGTCTTAGGACTCTTGCCCCTTATCTCGGATTCCGATATCTTCGGAGATGACCTCGGCTTCTCCGAGATTACCTCGGCTTAACAACCAGGGCACGTGGCACCTTGGCTGACACGTCGGCGTCACCATGCCACGTGTTGGTATTCTGAAAATATATCCCCACAATTGCCCCGTAGGTTCTATTACCTCGGCATTTTGAGGTGATGGAACCTATTCCGATGTTTTGTCACCTCTTTTCTGAGTAATGGTTCAAAAACTGATTAGCCAAGATTATCTACTTTCAGCCGACGTGTTCTCTTCGGAGAACAAGGCTTTGGTCGTACTCTCCCACGCGCATGAGCTGTCATGCATATCTAACCGTTCCTGTTCACGTGCTTTATTCTCATTGGAGCGTGTCTGTGACGCGCCTGGAAGCTGTCTGTTTGTTCGTCTGCGCCGTCTGACGCGTGCGTTGCTCTAGACGCAATAATTGCCCTATTTTCGCCGCCGTTTCAAATTTTTGACAAAACTCTTTTTTGCTTCTTCTTTTCCTTCACTTTTTCATTCTGTCTTTTTGTTCTCTCTCTTTCTGAAAGCTCTTTCTTCTCCGAATTTACCATCGCTTCAATCTCTCTTCTGGAACTGCTCTTAATCCCTCATTCTTGTGAAGCCTTCTCTGCTATTGCAACCAATTTCTGAGCTCGGCGAATATTGCCCCGGCTTCACTTGTTCCGGTAAGATTCATTCCCTTCAATGTCAATTTCTCTTTCTGTGCTTTTGTCTGCCTGTTGCCATTACTGATTTTGTTCGAAGCCTTGGATTTATTTGTATCTTGAATTTGTGGTTATACCTTGAACTTCTATACTTTTTCACCATTCTCTTTGCCACTGTTCTTGATTCTCTTTTTTTTTTTCTCTTTTCTGCCCCAGATCTGTGCCTTTAATCTTGATCTTTATAGTTCTTAGGTTTGGGATTTGTGCATAGAACCTTCAAATTTAGGGAAAACTGAAATAAGCCTTATCAGCCATTTCTTAAATCTTTACCGAGGTTTTTGTAACCCTTCCTAAAAACGTCCATCTTCTGAAACATATTTTAAATTGACATAATGGGTATGTGGAGGCATAGGGTAAATACCCCAACAAAACTTGAATACTTTAGGCAAGAATTCTCTATCCCAGCCGATGTTCATCTTAAACTAGCTGGGGACAGTGATACCATCATGCCCACAGACCATACGATGCCCTTCCCTATAGTAGCTTTCACCGAATGTGGACTCCGACTCCCACTTCATCCCCTTTTCCGTCATGTTCTTTATTTCTATAAGCTGAACCCCATGCAACTTACTATTAACTCCTATAGGGTGATCAATGGTATTATAGCCTTAGCTAGGCAAGAGAACCTTAGAATTACCCTGGCCGACCTTCAATACTGCTATACCATGTGCCCTCTTGACCTGAAGGATAGGGGTTTCGTTTATTACCTTAAACCGAGATCCACTCAGTACAAAATCGTAGCCGACCTCCCAGACTCCAACAAGGGGGCTGGAGATGATTTTCTCATTGCTTCTGGAAATTGGGAATTTGGCCCAGATGAAGATGTCCACCTCTACCCTCTTCCTCGAACAATCACAGAGGGCAAGAGTAAGAGCCCTGAGTCAACACTTAGTTGTTTTTATTTAAGTCTTTAATACTTTATTTCTGACGTCTGTTTCTTTGCAGATCTTCATCAGCCACCGAAAAATTTTCGCCAATCCTTCTTCCCAGGAACAGATCTAAAAACACTCCTTAACCTTCCAATCCATAAACGAAAAGCCCCACTGTTACTAAACTTCATCCCTACATATAAATCCACTTTACCCGACGTCCCAAGAAAAAGGAAGAAGAGTCTTTCTCCACCCACAGCCACAACCTTAACTGCTTCTACATCCCGAACAGATCAAGAGTCCACATCTAA